CTAGCTGACTGCACTTCTCTGTTTTTATTTGCTTCGGGGTGAATTTCCAGGTCAATGGGTGCATGTACATATGTCATGGATTTCAGTAGGTGCTACCAAAAGCCCTCCAGAAAATCCCTACCAATTCACATTCCTACAAGGAGTGTATGGGGGGCGGGTGTTGGTAATCAAGGACCTTTTGAGAGATGATTTGACTTCATTGTTATGGGAGTAGACTGGAGAATGTGACATATTTGGGGTCTTGTCTAGTTCTTCTATTTGTTAGTCCCTGGACCTGGCTGTTTAACGTTCTTAAACCTCTGTGGCCTCATATGGAGAAAGAGGTTAATATTGCTCCTATAGCTCACAGGGTAGCTGTACACATTAAACGAGACATGTATGATGGGTCTTCAGAAAGTCCATGAAAAAATGTACTCTCTTGTAATCCCATTTTTCCCAGAAGATGAAAAGCAGTGACATGTGCGTAACATTTGTTGTTTCTTGAAGCCTTCTCCTCTGTGTGGTGGTTATCTTCTCAGCATGTAGTTGTCTTCAAGAAATGACCATTATTATTATTATTATTATTATTATTATTATTATTATTATTATTATTTCATAGGGAAATAGAAATCTTTGGAGTTAAAAACATGAACATTTACTTAAAAAAACAAAATCAAGTTATGTAGAACCCAGTCCCATAACAGTGAGACTAGTCTGGCTTGCACTTAGTGACAGTCATGAGTTATTATTGCCCATGAAGTTAAACCCATAGCATGTGAAAGACTTTTCAATCTGCTCTTCCGATCCATTGGGACTCCAGTCATGATAAACTGATGGGGCAAGAAATATGCCTCACCAGGGTGAGTCACTGAGACTTGAGAGAGCTGTCAAGCTGGGCATTGCCTCTCTACCGCCATCAAGTGTTTGAGTTGAGACTACCTGCCAGGGGCATCCTTGGTGGGTGTGTTTTGTACGGTTGTACACAGAGTCGCTGCGAATCACTTAACAACAGTTGGATTGTGAATCTATCGTTAAAAAGAGATCATTTTATTTATTCCTCCATAAGACATTGAAGCATGATTGTGATAAGAGTAGTATGAGCCCCCAATAAAATGATTTTTTTTAAAAAGACATTGAAGCACTTGGCCAGGAACATCAAGGGCTGCAGTCTTCAGTCTGGATGACAACTCTATGTCACGAAGACCAGAATCCCCACAACTGGGCCACTAGGGAACATCACGGTAAGTGGAGAAAAGGTTGACGTTGTCAAGGATTTTGCCTTGCTTGGATCCACAATCAATGCTCATGGAAAGAGCAGTCA